CAATATATAGTTTGTGACCACAGCTGCGTTTGTGGAGGAGGACATCAGGTGACGACATCCCCTCGAATGCCCTGAAGTTCGTGGTCGAGAGAAAGGCGGTCATTCTCACACAACGTGATAAGTCTATCTCCGTTATCACAGTGCATGACGGCCACCATGATGACGTTCGCATGACAGCTGGCTGCCGACCTGTGCACTAAAGTCACTGAGCGATGACAACATCGCATTTTTTTGCTTTACTCAAAAACTGGTGGGGTTTGAGATAGAAGTCCTCCTTAACCGATCTACAACTGCAGTTGTTTGGAGTATACACAGAGAGCACAAACAAATTGCATCTCTGTATGCTCTATATTATTACTGCATGAACTCTGAACTAGAACAGCACATAATCAATTGTCTTTTGGGAGATAATCGACCAACGTGGCTTTGACTCAGGATAAAATCACATAAATTATCAACCGTCTCACGTAAAGGCACATTGGTGAATAAGGAGTCCACATCTATTGAGTACATAAGCTCTCCACTCAGTGACAATTGTTCCAGTGTCTCAGCCAGTTCAAAGGAGTCCTTCAGGCAATACGTGGCGAGGAGTTTACGCACCGGATCTAATAGTTTGGCCAGCCACCGCGCGACATTGTGGTAAGGTGAATTGTTCATGCACATAATCGGACGTAGCGGAAATCCTGCTTTGTGTATCTTGGGAGCGCCTCGCATTCTAGGTGTCTGTGTCCCGGTCGGTTTTAAGTGCCTGTACTGTGACTCATTGATGTAACCATGTAGCAGAAGCATCTGGAGCTTCCTTGCCACCTGCTTCTCCACCAGGATGTTGTTTTCCGGTATATTATCTAGCTGGAACTTCCGAGTGTCTCCCAGAATGGACTCCATCTTCGAAATGTAGTCATGCCCGTTCATCACTACAATACCCGATCCCTTATCCGGCTTCAGGAACATTACGTGCTTCATTTGTTTCAACTCCTTTATCGCCGTATAGTGTTCAGGTTGCAGACAGCACCTCTGACTTATCGGCGTACACAGAAACTGGTTCGCAATGTCTACCAATTTCGCCCGAAACCAACCCGCATCTTCTGTCGATCTTGGCGTGAGGTCACTGAGCTGTTCATTCAGATACTCAAAATGCGCCTGCGTGGTGACTTTGTCTAGCGCTTTTGGCGGCAGTCGGTATTTCATTCCAAGCGAGAGAACTTCCAATTGAGTGCGCGTGAACTGAGCAGAGGACAAATTGTATACGTGCTTCAAGCAATCAGTAGGAAAGGAAGCATTGGTGGCTTTAGCAAGAGAACCCTGCAGACTGCGCATTGTTTTTGCTCTCGTGCGACGGAGAACTTCAGCGGAAAAGTCCTCAAATTTTAATCGACAAACCAACGGCAACTCATTGAGTGTGCAAGCGAATCGCCTCTGCGTCTCGAGAAATTTCCGTTCTCGTTCCAGACAGGCGTCGATATGCGCCGACGCGATCCTGGCCAGATTGGTGTTGTTTATCGGCAACTTGTTCCTAGACAAGGTCTTGGCGAATCGCGGCGGGAAGGAACCTGAGCGGATACATTCCTCAAAAAACTTCACACGGACGCGTTCAACAGCTAATTTGCAGCGCGGAGAGAACAACCGGTCTAATGCTCTCGCAACGGTAGCGGGGAGTCTTCTTTTCAGAAAAGTAAAACAGTGGGTCCCCTTAAGCCATTTCGTTAAGGCAGAGAGAAGACAGAGGTTGCGATATGTTAACATTTCGATTGTTCTCCTCAGTCGCAAACACAATACGATCAGAAACATACAAGGGATTATATACATGGGGAAAAAAGGCACCACCAATCAAAATGTCACAGTCAAGACCATGGCAACCGAATGGATTGCCTCAAGAGTTTCTGTGCACATAGCACAGGTTGATAAGCCTTAATTAACAACGCCTCACTAATTGCTAGCATTATCGGGTTTTTGTTACGTAATAACACTTTGAACGCTGTCTCGGGATTTACGTAATGACGGGTTGTCATGAGGTGCTTGGTGATAGACGATGCCGGGCTCCGATTGATTCTCAGATTCGTCCCATTTTGTTGCGTAATCACTTGTCCCAACCACTTTGGCAAGTGTTCAGCTACCCTCTGAGCTAACTGACGGTTTGTTCTGCCTATGTAAATGTCACCGCAACCGCAGGTGAACTGATAAACAACGTGAGAGGCCGAACTACCCGACGAGATGCTCTGACGGTTATGAAGAACAAGTGCTCGCGTGGTATGCCTGAGTCGCAACTGGGCTGTTGTGTAGGTTCGCGTTAGGGCGGACCGGAGCTTGCGTCCGATGTCATTTGCCACATGGTCCCCCTTGAACGGCAAGAACAAATAAACATTCTTTTTCTCAGCCGTCAACACCGGTGTTTTCACACTGGGAGGTCTGCTGTGTACCTGAATAAACTTCTCAGGATATCCATTAGCAATTAATGTCTTGCGTAGAAATTCTTCTTCGGCTTGTAACGTTTCGGGGCTACAAATACGCCTAGCCCGGTAGAATAGAGTTCTCACTAACCCGCGTTTGTATGCGATCGGGGCGAAGCTTGAAAAATGAAGGTACTGTCCAGTCCAAGTCGATTTTCGGTGAACAGTGCGCTGCAACGTACCTTCAGCCTGTCGCTTAATGAGTATATCCAAAAACGCCAGGCAGTGGTGTTTTTCCACTTCATGGGATACGGACAGATTAGGGTGAATCGAATTTAGGATGGTCAGCAGCCGATTAAAATGTTCTCCGCTGGTGAAGACTAAAATGTCATCCACATATCGTCTGTACAATTTCGCTTCACCAATGCTCTCAGCAATTTGTCTTTCTATCAGGCCGAGGAAGATGTCGGCTAAAACTGGTCCCAGCGGGCTGCCCATAGCGACCCCGTCGATCTGTTTGTATGCGGTCCCCTCAAATTCAAACCGTATGTTTTCGGTGCACAATAGAATCATATCCTTTAAATACTCCACTGGCAGGCCAACAGAGATATTTTGACTCAGGATAAAATCACATAAATTATCAACCGTCTCACGTAAAGGCACATTGGTGAATAAGGAGTCCACATCTATTGAGTACATAAGCTCTCCACTCAGTGACAATTGTTCCAGTGTCTCAGCCAGTTCAAAGGAGTCCTTCAGGCAATACGTGGCGAGGAGTTTACGCACCGGATCTAATAGTTTGGCCAGCCACCGCGCGACATTGTGGTAAGGTGAATTGTTCATGCACATAATCGGACGTAGCGGAAATCCTGCTTTGTGTATCTTGGGAGCGCCTCGCATTCTAGGTGTCTGTGTCCCGGTCGGTTTTAAGTGCCTGTACTGTGACTCATTGATGTAACCATGTAGCAGAAGCATCTGGAGCTTCCTTGCCACCTGCTTCTCCACCAGGATGTTGTTTTCCGGTATATTATCTAGCTGGAACTTCCGAGTGTCTCCCAGAATGGACTCCATCTTCGAAATGTAGTCATGCCTGTTCATTACTACAATACCCGGTGCGTAAACTCCTCGCTACGTATTGCCTGAAGGACTCCTTTGAACTGGCTGAGACACTGGAACAATTGTCACTGAGTGGAGAGCTTATGTACTCAATAGATGTGGACTCCTTATTCACCAATGTGCCTTTACGTGAGACGGTTGATAATTTATGTGATTTTATCCTGAGTCAAAATATCTCTGTTGGCCTGCCAGTGGAGTATTTAAAGGATATGATTCAACGTGGCTTTATCAATCAATTCGATGCCAACCCCAGCCAAGCCAGTTACAGCTGCTTCTTTGTCACCAGACAGACTCAGGAAATATTTGGGTCCGAGGTCAGCAGGTGACGTCAACTTAACCTGTAATCGAGTCTCAGAAAGACAATTAACATTAATAGCGAGGGACACCAAGGTGCGCGCAAGACCAGCCTGTTGTCCGATCTGCATGAAGGTTCGAATGTTGAAGGCTACTATCCTCAGTGGAGATCGAGATCGAAGGTGGTCACTGTTCATGCTCCTTGGACATGGTCGAGGATGACATCGGGATTAAAAGGAACAAAAATCGTTAACGGTGATAAGATTGGTGTGTGATGAAGTTGCATAAGCAATGAAGGGTGCAGAAGCAGAAGAGGACGACGTTGTATTAGTAATACCTTCACAATCCATAGTTCCGTTAGGGGGCGAGATACGACCTGGTTGCCCAAGCCGAGGTAGGGAGTTGTCTTAGGGGAAACCAACCCGAGCCTTTCGCCTATCCACAACGTAGCTAGGCTAATCCAGGGAATCTCGCCCGCTTTGAGTCAGTGACCGATTACTCAGTTCATGCGCCTTTCATTTGATCGATCGTCAAACGGGCCTAATCCTCCCCACATTTTCAGCATCAGATTGCTGGAATACAAAAGCTGCACCAGGGTGAAACAAATGGCAGGAACATTAGTTAGTGGTGAGTCACATCAGCCACATCGCAGTGTTATTAAACAGACATGTAGGTTTTTATATAAAGAACGCTTGTTAAGCAAAAACCCACCTCGTCCTGGAACACTGCCGCCGAACGATTTTCTAGAACGGGACAAACCAGAACCACCCAGCTGGCACCACGGGAAGATTGTTCGGCAAGCCAATCAAACCTAGTAGTAATTAACTCTCAAGTTTTCCGACTAATAGAAGGGCAACCGAACGTCGCATGCATCAGTTGACTATTTCCGTCCTCCCATACATCGCTCTCGAACCAGTTTTTCTTCATTCAACCAATATCACAAAGGATCAATAACCCAATAACTAGCTCCACTAACATCTTCCTACTCATAAGTAATTGCATTCAGTTGATTTGGGCTCCCATCTGTAAACATCCTATTCGCCAGCTACTCATTGGTCCTGCTATCATTGCTTGTAACTTGCCTGCTACATCGCACTGCACTTCATCGAATCCCCCGAAAGTTGTGTGTGAATTTACTGTTTGCTTATGAGTGAGCGTTTCTCTTTGTTGGTTCTCATCCTTCTACTTTCTTTTGTTTACTAGAAAGTTTTATTGTCCTCTTGGAACAACACCGGACGGGATGCACGTGTGCCAGATGCGGTTCATTTGAGCTCTGATGAACGTTTCAAATACACGGTAAGCTCCCGGTTAAGTAGACGTCTCATCATGTTTTCCTGTGTGCCATTGTTGAAACTATTACTTCGGCCGCCCTGCATATTGTTTACGGACGATCTGACGATTTGAAGGTTTATTGGTTCTCCTGAGGACTGTGACGTCCTTCAACAGGACCTCGACCGGCCATCCCAGTGGTCTGCAAAAGTTGACCTACCGGTCAACCTGACCAAGTCCTCGTTTATGAGCCTTGGGAGGGGTAGTAGTCGGCGTGCGTACACCATGGCCGGCCACCCGCTGCATCCCACCAGTTCCCTAAAGGTTTTTGGCGTACTCTCACAATGTGATCTGAAATCTATCGACAACACGAACATACTGTACGCAGACGGACTACGCCTACTTTGGGCACTTCGACGCCGCTTCTGCACTTGGTCTGAAGCGATTGCCACCCGTCTGTTCTCTTCCATGGTAACTCCAGTGCTTGAGTACGGCTCACCCGCCTGTTGTTTGATCACAATAGGTGAGGTTCAGAGACTGGAATGGGTCCAGCATGTAGCTACCCGACTCATCTCCAGTTTACGGGTATGTCGTACGAGGACCGATGTAGGAGACTAGGGCTTTATACCCTATCATATCGTCGGCTTCGAGTTGATCTCATTATGACGCACCGAATACTGCACCTGGGTCATTTCCCTATGTTGAGGCCGCCGCTGCACGTTCGCACACTAAGCAGCACACGCGGACACCGGTACAAACTAATGGTACCCGGTTTAAGGCGCATCGCTCACCCTCTATGCTTCTAGCGTCGAGTGGTAACATATTGGAACAAATTGCCGGAGGCGCTAGTGGAGGCGAAATCGGTGTCAGAATTTAAGAGATTCCTTGACGCCCGCTTTGTGGACTATAGGTATAGGGAGCGTATCGCATCCGGTTAGGATATAGTGCAGCTGCAATATGCTGACACCGCGCGCATGTGCCCATTCCATCTACGATGGAGCAACACAGATTTACTTCTTCTTGCTCTCTGTTCTCAGTATTCAGCATTCATCAACCGACGCCGCGCAAGGCATATACATGCTTCTTACTGAGGTCTAAAGAAAACGTCCGTATTTACCTCATCTTGCTTCTTCCATTTACAGGCAGTTAGGCTGCTTGCGGCGGCACTCAGCACCACAAATCACGGCGGACTGCATTCCGTTCCCTTTGTTTCAATTGAACAACCATGATCCTAACACCGAAGTGCGCTTGATCGAGTCTCCGCGGCTCACATTATATGAATAACAATACATAACAACGCAACGAAGATGCATCATCATCATTATACACGTCAGCTAGAGGTGGGAAACACCTCAGCTACTGTGCGCAATATATAAAGGAAAAGGTAAAGAAAAGGCTGCTGAGCTACCAGCAACGGATGGGCATCGTTCCGGTAAGCTACCAGCCGGATACGAGGCAACAAGAAAAATTATTATGTAAAATTATATTACGCTGCGAAATGAGATCGTGGTTGGACAGGAGACTAAAAGGGATGGAGAGGGACAAAGAAACTCACAGCACGAACGCCACTGAGGTCGGCTCCTTGCCATGTCAGCAAGTGTATCCAGCCAAACGTGTTCATCGTCTTTTGGACCCGAACCAGGGAGCCGAGACGCTCCATTCGAGGCCAGCTTCGAAGTGACGGCTTTCATTACTCTCGACCAAGTCATCGCTTGGCCACCTCTCCTCTTCTTCCATCCACACCACCCGCTGAGCAAACAACGCAGGTCGCGGAAGTCGGTGGGCTGGCATGCGTAACACGTGGCCGAGCCATCGGAGCCTGGTGCGTGAAATGACGGTGCTGAGCGGTTCAGTTCCTTTTCCTGTGCCGTAAACAAGGCGTCCAACACGCTCGTTACTTACCAGCTGTTCCCACCAGATGTGAGCCAAACTGCGAAGGCACCGTTGATCGGACTTAGCTCGCCTTTTTATGTCTGCTGATCTAAGGCACCAGGTTTCGCAACCGTACTGTGAGGTCGAACGTATCGCTGCATTATACACTCTACTCTTCAGGGCGAGAGTAATGTCGCGCTGCCGCCATAGGTGGCGAAGGCTAGCAAAAGGATTTCGACATTTTGCTGTACGGTTCGTGATCTCGTCTTTGCTCTCAAGGGCGCTGATACAACTTCCTTGATAGTTGAATTTTTGAACGACTTCTAGCTGATCCTCAACAAGGGTCAGCGCAGGAGGCGGTCCAGGCCAATCTTGGAGGAACGCTTTGCACTTCGAGGGTGCAAAGCAAAGCCCGAAGCGGCTGACAGCCAGTGCTAATCTGTTCAGCGCGGCTTGGCATGTATGGGCGCTGTCACAGATTAGGGCGATGTCATCTAAGTCAAAATTCGTTCTCCTGAGAGTAGCTCCACACCGTCTAAGTCATGTCCTGTAAATGCAATCTCCATGACTTCGTCAATAGCGGAGCTGAAGAGGAAAGGTGACAGCGAGCATCCATGTTTCACACCGCTGGAGATACTGAAGGGTGGCGGCAGCTTGCCGTAAGCCCTCACTCTGCCCGAGCTACGCGCTTATAATGCTCGGATAATATTTACATATTTCTCGGGCGCACCTTTCCTGAGTGGACAATTCCAAAGGGCACATCGATCAACCGAATCGAAGGCACCTTTGATGTCGTGGAGCACTACTACGGTGGGCCGCCAATATGTGTGACGGTGCTCCAACAACTGACGCAAAGTGAAGATGTGGTCAGTGCAGCCGCGACCTCGACGAAACCCGGCTTGCTCCTCATGAATCTGGCTTTCACGAGTGACTGTCTGTGATGGATTATGGAGGCGATTAATTTGGAGGCGATGGAGATCAGACTGATTCGTCTATGGTTGTCGCATTCCGAACGCGAGCATCCTTTGTGGATGGGAACAATAACGGAGCAGCTCCAGTCGGTTGGGACAGTCTCCTGCTCCCACAGTCTCACTAGTAATTCATGTAAAGCATCAACAAGAATGGAGCCTTCGAATTCGAAGAGGACTGGAGGAAGATCATCTGGTCCCGCGGCTTTGTTCAACTTCAACAGTCCGATCTCACGTTCGACTTCTGAGCGAGAGGGTGGATCCAAAGGGACAGCCCATGGAGCTGCGCGATCACAGGTCGGCGAAGAATCGAACAATTCTAGCCGATTAAATTGCTTTTCAAAATGCTCAGCCCAACGCGCCAAACGTTTTAACAAATTGTGGATAGGCTGTCCACTCTCGTCACATAGTTTCACTAACACCAAGTCTCCTGATGCCGGTTTCCCGTATCAGTCGGAACAACTTACGATGGTTGCCAAGGGCAGCGACCACTTCCATTTCTGACGCACGAAGAGACCACCAAGATTCGCGGTCTCTCTTCAGGCTAGCACGGAGTGTTGCCTGGAGCTCTTTGCGAGTTTCATTGTGTTCTCTTCCAGCCGGGATGTGCCGGCGAGTGTCGATAAGTTCCAGAGACCGCGAGGAGACCTAATGTCCTTGTTAGCTATTATTCATAACACATGAGGATTTGCCTGCTTTTAGTAAGGTCTGATGAACATGTGGCCATTCACCATCAATTGTCTCCGGGGAGTGCTTACTCATTTCGCATGTCAGCATACTTTGCTAGGCATTCAGAACAGCTGTCTGAAGGGGTTGCTTCAATGTTGCTCATATATGTACAATTTTGATCGTTAATGAGCTTGAGCAAGTCTCTCAGCCACTTTCTTCAAGTTTCTATGCTGCGTTCTCAACTGGCCACCTCACGTTCTCTTCCGATTTGGTACAGCCACGGCGTATGATGCACGCTGTGGAAACCGATAAACGGGCACACGAAGGATTTGGCTTAGCCAAGGTAAGCCATTCAGATTCGGATAACACTCGAGTGAGGCACTAACTGACGGACCTCAGCCTTGCCCACCTGCTGTTTCCACTCAATGTAGGCAATACTCCGCAGCGTTATACACTCTACCTTTCACTGACGGGTTATATACCGCGACAGATGACGCCGGCAGTTTGCCTGTGATTCCTTCTCCGGTTCCTTGTTTTGCCTACATCCAAGCCATCCGCTTCGTAATATGCTCTCCAATCCGCGCTTAACTAGACATCGATCTCTTCTGCCAATGTAACTGCTTCAGCAACTACAGACGTATTAGTAAATGCAATAAGTTCGGGCGAAGACCATTTTGTCTGGTTTTATTCGGGGTACCGGCAGCTTTGTGGTTTGGAGCATTGAGTTTCCTGTATTAACTTGAATAGCACAATAGGACGGACACGAATGTTGCAAAATGGTACCATTCCGTGCCCTCTGTTCACCTGCAAACGGGCAACATATCAAATGATAACTTGACAAAAATAGAATCAACAATTTGAAAGCGTGGGGTCACATGCAAGCGAAGCAAACGTTGGCTACCGATGAACACGTTTGACTAGATACATTTGCTGATATGGCTAGGAGCCGACCTCAGTGGCGTTCGTGCTGTGAGTCTCTTTATCCCACCCCATCCCTCTTAACCTCCCCCTCCAACCACGATCTCATTATTTAGCCTTATATAATTTTGCATAGTAATTTTTTGATGCACAGTAGCCGGCTGGTAGCTTACCGGAACGACGCCCATCCGTTACCGGTAGCTCAGCCGACTTGCACCACTTGCATTTGTTTTCTTTTTTCTGTGTATTGCGGTACAGTAGCTGTGGTGTTTCCCGCCTCTAGCTAACTTGTATGATGATGAATGATGACGGCTACCGATTGTGAATGAATTGTTAACTCCAAGGGAGTTTGAGCGTAACGAACAGTTTCTTCTGGACGCATAATGTTGGAGAATGCTTTTTTATGGCCACTGCCTCAGCAAACATGAGGACTCTGGCGTTTGTGTTACGATAGGTGACACTAAACGCCGAGTTGGGGTCCACCTGATGACCCGTTTTCATCAGGTGTTTCGCAATCGAATAGGCAGGTATGTTGTTGGTCGACACAGGTCCCGGTTGCCGTTGCCTTGTCAAGGTAGCGATACTCTTCGGAATGTGCTC